GATATACAGCAAAGGTTGGTAGCAGCTAAATGATACTGATATTTTTCCAGTATGAAAGATTTCTTCCAGCATGCCCTGTAACATATGCTATGGTTTATCTATCTTCCTCTAGGTGGAGTAAACTCTCTATTGTCCTGCAGCTACAAATAGGCACTATTTATTGCCAGTAGCTGTTCCACTCCAGAAAAGGAGGAGGCTTCCCTCCATTCTGATTAACAATATATTCTGAAGGTTTTATTCAACTTCAGAGAACATTACAACAGGCAATATGGCATCCTACTGAATGCTGTGTCTAAGCATGCAATTAAATTATAATTCTTGAGTGTAATATTGTAGTGTAGTTGCTACAAACAATGTTCAGCTGAATCTTGCAGAAGTTAGTTGACCATATTATCCTCTAAAGACAGCAGTTTATGGAAGAATTAATTGCAGTCACTGAAGTCTAAATTAGAAAAGCCTTTCACATGCTTAACACTACATTCAGGACAGAAATTAAAGAACATCACTTACTTGAAACACATAGACTAACATGTTCTTTAATGTCAGAGATCCACAAGCTAGAGATGAAATTTACTGTGTGTGCATGTAGTTTGTTAAATAGGCTGACAGTCTGAAACAAAGTATTAACCAGCTCTCAAAAAACTAGTATAATTTTGCACTTGGAAAGATAATTTGTTTTTACAAGAAAACTGTTTATGAAGTATTTGAGACACACTGGCACTACAAAAGCAGTAATACAATGACATTAAGTAGTAATGAGATTAATCACACCAATTACTAATACAATAGTAAAGTTTTCTTATGTAGCTTTTAGGTGTTTTCCTTCTCGACGAAAAATACATTTTCTCTTTAATATTTTTTCAGTTAAGATGTATGATTTTGTCTCCAGCGTGACTTTCTCCAGCCAGAAATCAGGAGTCAGTACCGCTAGTCTAATACAGTGCCATTAGCTTGACCTGTATAAGCAGGGACAGGGTGCACCAAAGATCATGACAGTTCTATGAAGAACATGGTAATGATGGAGCTAAATGATTCATTCTGCCACCTAATTATTTCTGGTAGCTCAAGGACTGCAGTACAGTAGCCATATCTCTTTATTGTATGTACCCTACATGAGTGGAACAGCTTACCTGCATTAACAGTCACACTGAAGAGTCTTTTTTCAGTTTGTATGTCTCTTCATTGCACTTACAGAGTGAAGAACACAGGATTAGCTGGATGTATTTAAGGTGCATTGAATTATCAGTGCTAAAATAGAGTTCACTAGTTTAAATGACTTAGTTCACAAAGTCCTTGGGGTTTGGTCATACAGATACTATGTATTTTGTCTGCTTCTTTGTTCTTTCAGAGCCATCCATTTATGGCATGATAAAATCATTAGTGCTGGTTATGTGTCACCATGTAAATGCTTTACTTTGTTACATAGCAGTTACCAGGTGCCTTCTCTTTCAGTTTGGTATTTAATTGTCAAGAAGCATTTTAATTTCCTAAATTATGTCATCTGATTTAATAAAAGCTGCTTACAAAACAAGTAAATACACTGACAAAGGCAAAACATTACTTCATTTATGAAATTTGTTACTAAAAACAGGACTTTATTTCATTCAGTGTGCTCTCTCATTGCTATTTATCAACATTTGTTTAAGGTTGCAATTGAACAAAGAACAGTAAATACAATTTAGTGTAGAAAGGCAAGGTCACATGGTTTGGGTCTTAGTTAATTTATCTTTCATGACAGATTCTATTTTCTGCTACTGCTATTATTACTCAGTAATACATTTCTCCCATGATAGTGCATCTGTAGCTCTTGCATTGCCAAACTTAGTGGTAGCATTTAATTTGTGTTACATTATTCAGTTATCAAGAAAAAACAGTGCATGCTGAGAAACACAGTAGCTACTTAATGATAGCATAAAAAAATGAGTTCTTGTAAGCAAGAGCAATGTTTCAAGTACTTTGCTAAAACCACTTCTTTTTCTGAGGCTGCACTATCCCGTTCTCATTCCTGTTCCTGTCCTGGGAAACTGGGCATTCACCAGGCAGGTCTCCAGATGAAGGCTAACAGGTAGATATGCTGAGACAGTAGACACAGAGTGAGTTTGACAATTAAATTTCATGTATTTTACCTTAATTAATGGCAGCTGGATAACGTACAAAGACTGCAGCACTGAATTACAGGAAAGCCGCCCTGAGATTGCTAAAGTCATCTAGTCTATTCCCCTTCCCGCGTAAGATCAGCTCTACATATGTAATTTTCAACAGAAACTAGTCTGATCCATCCTGAGAGACCTACAGTGATGGAGGAGCCATGTAATTAATCAGATTTAATATATATCATACATGTCTTTGTATGACCCATGTTAATTGGAATACAAATACACCCATGACACAAGTGACCCAACAATACAGCTGTAAAACACAAATCTTCATGGAGGGTCCTAGCAGGAGTCAACAGGGGTTTGTTCTTGACAAATGTTACATACTATCTTTACCTACCAACTGCAAGATGAAGAAAGATGATGGTTAGCAGTTTTTGGAAGTCAGGGAAGCTGGTGGAGTGGTAAATTAGACAGATACCAATCGTAGAGAATGATGTGAATTGTTTGGTAGGGTGGGCTGACTTGAATATCCTGTTTTAATACAGACAACTTTGCAATTATACGTCTAAGGAACAAAGAGCATAGTTTATACAGACAGGATCGGACAAAGTTTTTCAAAATGATGCAACATGAAAAGAAGTCATGGTCTTGGTAGATAATTAACTGAAAATGAGCCTGCAGTAGGATGATGCAATTAGAGAGTGAAATGTCAGCCCTGAAGCCTAAGCAGGGAAAATACAAAGTGGGAGTAGGAAGGTGATAGTTCTGTTTATAGCAAAAGTAAAATTATCGCAAGAATACCATGTGCAGTTCTCATACCCACACTTCAGGAAGGACTCTGACAAATCAAAAAGTAGTCAGAAAATCCTACAAAAAATGCATTGAGGTCTGAAAGGCATGCTTTATCATGAAAAGCTAAGAATGAGCAAGCTGCCTATCTTATCAAAAAGAAAAACAAGGAGGACTATTACTTAAATGTAAAAGATGTTTTTGATTGTGGTTGGTCTTTTAGTATAAGAGAAAAAGGCATAACAAAAGACAGTTTGGGGTATTTTTCTCTTGAAAAGAAAGACATATGTAAGATCTAACTGCAAATAAAGCCCTTAAAAACCAAACCCACTTAGTGAATAATTAGCCACATTGACAATGAGGTGCTGGATCTTCTTCTCTGTACTGTTATATCTAAAGGTCTCTCCAGGGATACGACAATTTCAGGAGAAATTACAGACTTGCTGCTGAGACATATAGCTGATCTTGCTACAAGTTGCAGGACCATAATGATCTTTTCCGGCCTCAAAATCTGTGATTAGTTAACTAACATAATTCTACTTTCTTTCTTTGAAATCTGTTAAATCATATTGGTGTATATCTGCTGAGGAAGTAGCTCTAAGTCCTTCAAGTTTGAAAATAAGGCATCTTTTGTACAAATTCACCACCACTGAAATCAATAGCCTTGTATGTGAAGATAATCTTGAGAACGCGAAGACTGTAAAGTTGTTTCTGAACTGCAAAACCTATTCTGACCATGGAAACAGTAATTCAAAAATAATATTGAATCACTGGAACTAGAAACAGTACTTAATTTTGTTTCTACAGAGATTAGTTCTGCGGAATAGAGAAAAATCACATCCTTCAGTTTGTCATTTTATTTGTATGTTTTTATATTTTAAATAATACCTAACCATTAAGTGGTCCTGACTGCAAAAACATCAGACTGTGTTTCAATAAATAATTCCACTTTAATGGCAAAGTAATAATTTAGACAGATACAGTGTGCACACCTGCAAAAAAATATACGCAAGCTGGTTTACAAGCTAGAGGAACAATAAACCAATAGAAAATACATCATCCAGTTAAGTCCGATGACACCAAATACTTATTGTTAGGGCTTTACAAAGACTACAAAACTTTTCAGATGATTTATTTCACTGTTTCTGTCTATTTACATGATATGTTACATCAAAAATGTACAAAATATAAAATGTGTACAGACAAATGTTTCACAAACAATTTCTGAGTTGTAAACTAGGTGGACTCACTGAGATGTATTGCAGGAAGTTTTGAATATGTAATATTGTGTGTTGGTGTGTTAACGGCAGGAAAAGATTTGCAGGTTTGCTCAGAGCACAGGTACAGGAAAGAGCAGCTTTCCTTTAGTTCTTTGAGTCAGTCAAGGTATATGAGCTGACATTTTGCATCAGAAATGGATCCAGATTTGGGGGGCATGATGTTGGTCTGACTGAATCCTACATGCATAAAATCAGTTGGAGTTTTATTAGGGCAATAGCACCGTGTAGGAACCTCTAGATTCAGCGATGCAGCTCAGTGCCATTTGGAAACTGCATTGATTTATCTTTGTTTTACAGCAAGTGACCACAGAGTGGCCAAAAAGAGTTTTAATAGCACCAAATACACATCCTGAAGGTAACATCTATGGAGGTGTAACAGTACCTGTCTACACAATGCCAAAGCCCTTAGATACTTTCTTGTTTATATGCACCTATTTTAACCGGATGCCTCTTGTGGTAAAAGAGCTTTCCGATTATTCTGAGTGGTTTAAATGCAATATGGTTGTAGCCTGCCATGACATATGCACTTAAAACATATTCAGCTTTTTCCCCCCAAAATGTATTGGCTTCATATAGATATTGAAACATGCTGACTGTAGCACTGATAGTTCCTGCATAGTCATAACAACTGTAAGTACAGGACAAACACACCAGGTAATAATAGCTTTTAAGGTTTGCATTCTGTATTTGTTTGCAATATACAGGAAATCTCAGCAAGTGAAACATCTCTTAACACCAACAGAATAAAATACATTTTTTTGTTTGTTTATTTTTGATTTGTGCAAGGCTTTTTTTTAATCTTTTTTTGTTGTTGTTGTTTTTTTTTTTTCCAATATTTACAATACCCACCCAGTAGACTGTGCAAAACCAACCCACTTTTACAGTATAAACTCTTTCTCTTCCACAGTGGACATCACTGCTTCAGTGTTCTTTTATGCTGAATTCTTCATGTACAACAATAGCAATCAAAACAACATGCTAAAACTAGAAAAAGGAAAAAGAAAACAAAAACAACCCATATATTTGTGCTCATGCTGCATCAAGTGCATCCAGCTCTGCTGGATAAGAATTCAAAACATCTATCCTCCAAAAACTCCATTCCATGGGACCAAATGGATTTGAGCAGATTTTCTCAGCATTTAGGTGGCAGTGGAAGTGGGTTTGGGTTCCTTGTGTATTTCTGAGGGTAGGCAGAGCAATCTATTCACAAGATAAAAATATTATATAGCAACTGTTCTTTCTCCTATCTGTTACTTTAAAAAATCATGATATACAGATATGAGGCTACTGTGTTAACTGACATTTTCTCATTAGTAAATGAAGAAAAAAACAGTGTAAATTACCAATGGTTTAGGAATTAAACCAGCTGTAAAACTGTTCTAGAAATCTGTTTTAAGGCAGTGAGACAGCACCATAAGAAATGTTCCTTCTTTCACTGAAAAGGCTCAAACAAATGAAGCCCTAAAAAGCCTTTAATCAGTGTTGGTTAATAATTGGTATAAAACTGTTATTAAGGAGTGGGCAGGTGGTTAAAAAAGACCTTTGTGGTAAAAACAACTTTATAAAATCTGTGACTCGTGTACTAAAAACTTGATGGAGCGCATCACCGTGACCATGGCAGTTAGAATTAAATTGGCACTTATCCAGCATATCACAGTCATGTTTTCTGGTGATTGCACAACACTGTTTGTGCTTTCTGAGTTACTATCATCATCTTTGACTTGTTTTGGAATGGGCAGTAGCGTACAACACAAACACCACTGCAGTCCTGTGACCAGCACCATGTGGCACAACAGAGGTTAGAAGAGAATTAGAAGACTGCATTGTTCATGCAGCGCCTCAGGGTAAGCTAAAGGAAAAAAAAACAACAAAAGAAGTTGCACTGTAAACTTGTACAGAGAAACAGAGATGAAGAGAGAGAGAGACAGAGAGAGAGGAAAAAGAGGAAAAGAGAGAAAAAATACTCCAGTTTGGCTGACACGTGTGCAATCTGCTTAGATGCCCCTGGTGTAGGGCCCTTTCCAGTTGTCAAATGGAGTCTCACTTGGCTCCACAGGTATTGAAATGCTTTGAAATTAAACTAATTCAAGCTTTCCATTTCGATTTTTCTTCCTGACTTTGCAGAATTAGGTCTCCTGCCTACCTACAACACACCATTCTCACTCAGGGACCTCGATGTGCTGCTTTAATACTGGCAGTGGTCTAGTGGAAACAGATTTTACCATAATTCTCCAACAAGGTTTGTCCTTTTCAGAGAGTTGATTCAAGGGATGAATCCAAAATGTCATCATGGTGGCTGGTGCTATCACTGTCACAGCTTTGTGCACTCGAATAGTTGGCTGCCTCTTGAAGCCTCATTAGCATATTCATCTGAAAGAAGAAATCAATGTTTACATAATCTCATCTCATTTAATGCTGCAGTGACCATGTTAAAATTTAATTAAGCTCCCTTGTTGTATGAGGTGTGCTGGTATCTAGCTGAGGGGACCATAGAAAAGGATTTCAGAAAGGGCAGAATGTCAGCTGCTCCTCCCGGCACCCTTTTCATTGCTTTCTGGTCTTTAAATAGAAGTTTAAAGGTCCAAAGGGCCAGAGATAAAATAGAGCTGCCTGATCACTCTCTTTAATTCAGGGGTGAGACCGGCTGCAGCTGCAACACCAGCAGAGGAAGGAAGCCATATCATGGCTGGACATCTGGGCCCGTATTTGGAGACAGTCAAGCTTCCAGATAATTTTTGGATGGCATAAACACACTACATTGGAAAAGCAACTGAAAACATAATCACACTAACATACCCCCTCTGCAAGAGAGAGATGGGGAGCGAGGGAGAGAGGAGTGGACCGAGGCCAGCTGCTTCATAAGAGTCCCATCTGCTGTTGAGGGGCTGACCTCAGCAGGGGAGCAGCAACAGATCCTCCTACCCAGGACAGGAGAACCCCCACATAATATGGGGATTATTAGAATCTGAAGCCCATCTGAAAAATCATCAAAAAGCAGCATTAAGCCCCAGAAAATTACTTGGATGCTTGACGTCTAACTCTGTGTAATGATCAGGATTTTATTTATAAAATATCCGCTTCTGCCAGCATGCTCAGGGTTGCAAGTGATGTTGACATTGCTTTAGTGTTTTACAAGGAATTAAATACACTGTCATTACAAAAAACAAGCAATGAAAAAACAAAGAGAAAGAACTGTTCTTGTGTGTTTGTGTGTTAAGCCTCTTTTCCTACTTTGCTGAGGAGTCCTTACATCTCTGTGGTTTCAACCTGCACACTTGTAGAGTTTGCTCTAGTCATTGAACAGTGTTTAATACTCTTTACTGTTATCAAGTAGCTTTTGCAGAAGATTTAATAGGTATCCATGTTTGAGAATACAGGGTGCATGCAGTGGGTGTGCAGTACAACCTGCCTGTGAAATGTCCTGTTTCCCCAAGCACTCTCTCTGTCTCCCCGTGAGCTCCACTTCAGGCAGGGGCAAGCCCTCCATTCACAAGTTTGAAGATTCTGATAATTAGTCAGATACAGATACTGATCACAGTGTGCAGGGAGCAAGGGTGACAGGACACCGGATTTGAACTGCTCAAGTATTTTCGCTTTAGTAGAGTTGGTGCACACATGTTGGAAGCCTGGTGAACACACTCAGTGGCAGCCCAAATCACAGGGTCAAACAATCACCCCAAAGCTTATGGACTGGGAGACAGGGGATCAGATGACGTGATTTTTTACACTTCAGGATGCAAGGTCTGGTTTTGGAAACCAAATACTTCCATGAGGCTGAGGAGTAATTTTCTTAGCACTGATAAGAATCAAACACATTTTCCTTTTCCAAGGGCTGCCTGTATTCCAGAAGTACAGTTTTCTAAAATGGTATTTTGAATTGTGATAAAGGCAGTCTATAGAGAAAGCACTATACAAGAATAGCAGTTCAAGATATGCTATTTAATAGCCCATTATCAGAGGAGGCAATGGTAAACCGAAATGTCTGGTATCATATTTAAATAAAACAATACATGACATTGAGGGAAATCAACTTCTTATCTTTTAATGCCACCACACTTGCAGTCATTTTACATTAAGATTGTTATACAGTCATCAGTTATCTTGAAATGTTCTGAGCAATGGGAGGATGGCTGTCTGATTTGCATATCCACTAAATTCTCTATGATAGACAAATTAGATAATGTGTGTTTATCAGTCCTTCATTTGTAGAAGGTAGATGAAGGACTGTCTAACCTGGAAAGGTGTTTTTAGAACAAACTGATTAATAAGTTGCTGAAGAGTGATACCCAAACATTATAATGCTGAAAATCAGACACATTTCTGGGCAGATGGGAAATGCAAACAATTTAGGGACACATTAACATGATGGTGATACCTAACTTTCTATTAGATTTTCCTTTTATTTTCAATTTTAAAATAAATTATAGTAGGATGCATTTTAAAAGCCCATTTTGGAACAGGTACACAGCAGTTTTTTACTGTACAGTGCACAATTTAACATGTCACAGTAAAAGACATATTGAAAAGCCTTTTTCCCAAACTTGAAATCTTACCAAGGGATCCCCCTCCGTATCAGTCTGTGGAACGTGCTTTGAAGTTGTTCCTTCCTTTGCTGATGCATAACCTTCATAACCAACATCTTCTGGTCTTAACTGAAGTAACGATGGCCACTCATGCTGTAGAGATGCAGAGCTCCATGGATAGGTATCAGCTACCCACTTGGAGGGATCCTCCCAGGGTGCCCTCTTACCGTACATCTATATTATGGATATAACACAGGTAAGTATGTTACAGTGTTTTCAATACCAGTTGTAACAGCAGAAAAAAGTAATCAAAACCATCTAAACCATTGTAGTAAGCAGTTTGCTTTCAAATGAGCTCAGCTTTTAGATATGATAAGACATTCAAAAGACCTCATCTCCATTAATGCCCCTTCAATAAGCAGAGTGGCTGCAAGTTGAAAACCACTCCATAACTAGTGATACTTGTAGGCAACAGCTGGAGCCACAAGTTTTTGATACAATTTGAAATTAGACCTTTAGGTAATTTGCTTAAGATATATCAGTGAAATTAACTCAGACCTATCTAAAATATTCAAGTTAACTGGATTTTGTTTTAAGTGAACTGGGAACTGTCGGTACTGATTGTTCTCTTCTCCTAGCAAAGTAGAATGCAGAAGCAGACATCTCTCCACACCTTAAGTCTGAGATCCTTCACAAAGTTAAGAGAAATTCACAAAGAATAGGTTTTCCCTTCTATGAAGCACAAAAATACTTGCGAATCTGGAAGGACAGAGGAAGGCAGAATGAGTATATTGTAAGTTTAGGAGGTCTGGTAGCACCCTTCTCCACATTGCCGTTCACAAGCAACATGTTAACCCAGAGCCCTTTGGTTGCTGCTTTACAGATTTTCTCAGGTGTGACAATGACACATTGGCATGGGGAGCCAGTCTCCAGGGTTTTCTGTGATTTCTCTTAACTGAAACCACGTCACACAATCCAAGGAGCAGCATAATAATGGCAAAGCTTACATTCATGGAGCATTTAGATGGGCTGCACTCCTAAAGGGAGTAAAATGGTGAAGGATTTTAGTGCTAACAGCAGAGAGATGAGTTGTGCTTATCACTGCAACACCTGCTTCCAGGCATTTGCTGAATCCAGAGCTCCAGGTTAGGCAGCCAAGTTCCCTATATTATGCACAGAGATACTCAGAGTCCTTTTGCCCTGCACTGAGGGTAGGCTGCTGTAACAGGGATCTGCCTAAAGAAGCCAAGAGGAAATGTTTTTCAGGGAGGTAGGAGGCTAACTCTGGGCTGTAGGTAGCATTTTCCCACATCTGAGATTAACAGCAATTAAATCTTTTCTGGAATCTGGGACAAGGCTTGTAAATTCTGTGTCTGCCAAGTGAGTTTGCAAAGTACCAGGCTAGAAAGCCATTTTCTACCCATTCTTGGTTCCAGGAACATCTAATAATATAATTTAAAAGATTTCTGTTTATTATTAATAACATTATTCTATGGAAGCCTTCCAAAGCAGCTAGAAATTGGAATGGTTCATGAAACATGATATTTTATTCTGTATGCTTCCATCTTCTGCTCCAGAATTGAAGTTTTAATTTAAGCAGGTATCCTGTATACTTGGGAAAATATGAGCGTGAAGAATATCATTGCATTTTTATAGCTGGTCTAAACAAGTGCTGTTAATCTCACTGTGGCTGTTCTATCAGACGTTTGGCAGTTTTTTGCACAAGGCATAAATACTCTGCAATTCCCAGAGGTAAGCAGTTTTAGGAAAGCGTGAGATAATCAACAGGCAAGATTCTAAACCCTCATCACATCAGTATGTCACTATGTCAGTACAAGGTGATAAAGAAATTGCAGCTGCTTACATGGTTTTCTGACTAGTCCATAACAATTCCCTCTGCACTATGCAGTAATTTATTTCAGTGTCATGTATGGCAAAAAATTGCCCTTCCACAAAACATCTTTTCAGAGGACATAGAATTGCAGTGCATAAAAGAAAAAGCAAAAGGGGCAAAGCCAAATAAATAATGAAAAAGAAAAAGAAAAATATCCACATGGCTTAATTTCAAGATTTAGATTTGCTCCAAAGATGTGGAATGATCTGGAATCTTAACCTATATGGGACAGCTTACAGTACTATCTACAGCTATTTGTAGCCCTCTTTCTATTAAAGCAGAAGAAACATTACTAATTCAATACCAGTCAATGGAACTGCTGCTAACACCTAGCTCTGGAAAGGATAGGATGGAGGGAACAGTGAAACACTAATCTGGTGGCACTGCTACCCACAGTGAGGACACAGTCACGACGAAACCTTAGCCCATACAAAGAAAGAAAACAGGAAAAACAAAACTATGGGAAAGGTGGGCAAAATAAAAAGGGCAAAAAAAGGACAGACATTCATGTTCAGCA